ACAACAGCCAAAGGTATATTATTTTATTTATTTCTTTAATACTAAACACGACACATTCTTATATCTACAGTTTTTTTTTAATAGTCACTACAAGATTTTTGGTACCTGATTTTTACATACCTGCAGCCATCTCTTTTCTTTCGTGGTCTTTCCCTCGTGAGATTTTGGGTGTTCCTTATTAAAGCAGTTAAAGGTAACTATTTTAAAATTATGCTATATGTTGTTTATTTAATAATAATTTTATATTATATAATTAATTTTTTTTATTAATTATTAGTTGAATTGAGAATGCCATTACCCGATCCCATATGGGAGCACTTTAATCAACTAGGACATGTGGCTGGGTATAAGCAAAGAAGGAGACAATGCAAAAAGTGTGGTCACCAGATAAATGATTTGCTTAGACCAGCTCGTATTCATTTGCGAAAATGCTCCAAAGTAACATTCATAGAAAAAAAAAATTATTTTGGGAGCTCGTATGAAGAAAGTGACACTGAAACGTCTATAAGTATATCTACTTCATCATCAGTGGGTGCAGATCAAATTTCAAAAAGAGAGCAAGCGTCTCTCGAATTAGCGTTTGCGAAATCTGTATTTCGCTGTGGACTTTTTTTATCACTATCTGAAATGAAACCCATTAGAGATTTATGGCAGCAAGCAAAACCAACATTTAGGCTTCCTAGCCGAAAAAAACTTTCTACAAAATTGCTAGACTGTGTTTTTAATGAGACTAAATGTGATACTGAAACTTTAATTAATAAAAGCACAAATATGTGTCTTATAACTGATGGATGGTCTGACTTGGTCCAACAACATTGGACAAATTACATTTTAACGACTCCTAACCCAGTTTTTTTTACTGCACATCCGACTGGTGAAATGCGACAAAATGCTGAAGCGATCGTGAAAGATTTAGAAAAAGTAATTCTTGAAGTTGGTCCATCAAAAATTTCAACCTTAATCACTGACAACGCCTCCGTAATGAAGAAAGCATGGCGCTTACTTGAAATGAAATTTCCTAAAATGTTTTTTATTGGTTGTGTTGCGCATAGCTTGAATATTTTAATTGGTGATATTATGAAATTAACATGGTGCGCTAACACTTTAAAAAATGCTAAAGAGATCGTTTTATATTTTCGATCACATCAAATTCCTATTGCTATTTTACGACGACATCAATTAACAACCTATAAGCGCCGAATATCCTTAAAACTCCCAGTTAAAACAAGATGGGGGTCTTCAGCAACATGTCTAAATTCGATCTTACAAAATAAACTGGCACTTAAGTTGACCATTACGGAAATAACATACAATAATTCTGAAAAATTACCCAAATTAATTAATAAAGCTATAAATGATGAAAGTTTTTAGAAAGATATCGAGATTCTTCTTTCAATTTTAGATAAATTTGTTGTTGGAATTTCATTATTTGAATCAGATACCCCACGGCTAGCATTATTTTATGATTGGTATAATGAACTGTTAGAATCAAGTGGTAAATAAATTTTAATTTGTACTAAATTTGCCTATTATATTGCAGATATTAAATTTGTAATTTTAAATATTTATTTTAGAAATAAATGATCAAATTAAAAGTATATTGAAAAGTCGATGGACAAAAATATATCATCCAGTTATAGCACTTGCGCATCTCTTAGATCCAAAATATTATGGGAGGAAGCTTACTACAAATAGTATGACATTGATATCACAATTTATTCAAAAACATTATCCGAATAATGCAAATATCATCTGGCAGCAACTAATTGAGTACAAAACTAAAACGGGCACATTCAATCTTCAATTAGCATGGAATACAATCGAAAATATTAACACTGTCTCTTGGTGGAAAGGAAACTTTGAAATCTCAGCATCTGAGTTATGTAAAGTTGCTATTAGGATCCTTTCGATTCCTTCATCATCTGCAGCTTCTGAACGTAGTTGGTCAGCTTTTTCGTATATTCAGGAAAAAAAAAGAGCTCAATTAACTAATGACCGGTTACTGAAATTGGTGTACATATATAGCAATTATAAACTTACTTGTTAACGGCATGAATTTTCTGATGTCTCACAAGCAGTAGCACGGGTAAATAGTAGACCAACTCAACATCAAAGAGATATTGAATTACTAGATCCAACGGATAATGGCTTGGATGATTCATATGAAGAAATATTTGTTGAGGATACAAATGATGAATTGCTTGAAAATTACTCAAATATTGAGGAAACTGATAGCGAAACAGATAATGAAGTAGATAGTGAAAATGAATGATCAGTTTTTATTTGCAAATGTATACTGTAGTACTATGTGCTTTATTGCATAATAAAAATTGTTTTTTGCATTTATTTAATGCTAATTTATATACTATAATGGCGGTGCAGTTATTTAATTGATATTATCTGTAATAAAATTTTTTAAATATTTGCTATGTAGAAGTTTTATAAGTAAATACATTATCTTGAAAGAGTTTTTATATAAATCAATTATATATTTATCTTCACTAAATTTACCGAGAATCGTTCTAACAAAGGTAACCAATTATAATCTTAATCATATAAACATCAATCACGTGCATCATGCGCATCATGCTTGTCATGTGCATTTTCGCATAATGCGCCCAAAATGCGCATTTTGCCCATCTCTAATCATGCATTGATTGACATAAATTAGCCAATCATATGAAAGAGAGTATTATCATGAGTAAAAAATTCAAAAAAAAAAAAAATCGTGCTGTTATGTAATTTACACCAAATTTTGTTAATTATAAAGGTCGATCTAAAAAATGGTATTGATTACTTACTTTTGGAATTAAATTATATAGCTCTAGCTTTAGCTGGCTTTTTATAATAGGGGAAAGCGAAGAAAACAAGAAGGTTTGCCGAGGTTAAACGTTTATTAAATCCTAAGGATTCAAGATTGTGAGCTATTTTTACGTTTATTTATAGGAGGCTACATAGTTTTATTTGTGAATCAAGCCATAATGGGATTATAAATCGAAAAAATTATACTAATTTATTACGTTCTGTTCGATATTAGAAAATCTGTACAAGAAAAACAAAAAAAGAAAAATGAAGAGAGAGAAAAGGAGGCTGTTCGAAATGTGTATGCTTTCCAAATTTTAATGTTTATCTTGAAAATTAGTTGTATTCATGAATTGATCCATCTGTTTTATACACAGGCCACAAGTAGCTTCTTCTTTATTCTTTAGACATAATACATCTTTAGGTCCACCTTATCAAATTTTAGTGGATACAAATTTTATTAATTTTTCAATTCAGAATAAATTGGAACTTGTACAGGCTATGATGGATTGTCTTTATGCTAAATGTAAGTTTACATTTTTAAAGTTTCTGAATGTTTGTTATTATTTAATCGATATCTTTTCAATCAATTAGGTATACCATGTATCACGGATTGTGTAATGGCTGAATTGGAAAAATTAGGACCGAAATACAGGATTGCGCTTCGGTAAAATACTATAATTTATCAATTCTTTAATTTCTATGTTTTCTATAATTATTTTCAATTTAGTGTCGCGCGTGATCCAAGATTTGAAAGACTACCATGTACTCACAAAGGAACGTATGCTGATGATTGTTTGGTACGTCGAGTGATGCAGGTTTGTAAATTCATGTCTTATATATATTACATGTTTGTCATTATACCCCCAATATTCATATCTTTTTTCATAAAATAGCATAAATGTTATATTGTAGCAACGTGTGATAAAGATTTAAAACGCCGTATTCGTAAAATTCCTGGTATCCCCATAATGTATATTTCTAAAAGAAAATATACAATTGAAAGATTACCGGAAACTTACAGCGCCTATTAATTTCAAAAATTTTAATCGTCATGCGTAGCGAAACTGCAAACCAGAATAATAAATTAAACGATACTTCCATTTATTCTTACTGCTACTTAATAATGATTCTACATCGATGCTTCAAGGAAATTCCATTTTTTAAACACATTAAGTTCTTTCAAGACGCTCATCATTGATAAAAATATGCATATGGGCTAGGTGCTAAGAAAAGGGCCCAAATTACCAATTTTTTCAATTTTTTTTACATAAATCAATTTAGAATAAGATAGTTTGTTCTAACCGCAAGTAAGTGCTACAGCACTTACGAAATAAAACTGAATGAGTTTATATTCTGGTCAAAATACTATAGATCTAGATTTTTCGTTTGTAAGAATGAAGTTCAGTTTCTATAATAAAATAAATAGGATTACCGAAGGAAAAAAAATATTAAGCCTAAAATCATAAAAATTTAATTATAAGATTTTAAGATAAAAATAAATTTATATTATTATAAATAGTTTATAAATTTTAAACCATTTATAGTAATATAAATCTATTCTTAGGTTGGGCTCTTTAGCTTATTAGTTAAGCTTCTAAACTCTTTTAGACAAAGTTAATGATTCAAGTCAGGCTGATGACAAATTTTGAAATTTATTACTATAACTTTATAGAGCTATAATCAAATGTGAAGCTCTGTGAAAAGTTTAAATACAAGTATAGTTCTGAAATAAAAATTTTAGAAAAAGCCTAATTGTAGAGTACAGACATTATATAATAGCAGTTTTACAAAAAGTTAAGCTTATAAAAGATTGTACAAGTAAGTCTTTTGGTTAGAGTAATTTAAAGGCAATATTAATATTTCTTTATTCTCAATTAGACAACACCAATATTTTTGCACTCAACTTGTAAAGTACTTACTTAAAAGAATAATTAACAGATTGTGTAAATAAGTTTTAATTTAGAAACAGTGTTGGGTATTTGCTTAGAAAAGTTATATATATAATATTATTAAAACTATAGTATAGAAATTCTTAAATCAACATATAAAATTAAAATTTTTAAAATTTTATAAAAAAATAAAAAATATAATTAAATGAAAAAACTTTTCATAAAAAATATACAACAAATTGAGTAGAACAAAACTATAAAGTTTGTTTTTGAATATAACAAAATTTGATAATGTTATTTTCTTTTAAAGTTACTAATAAAATAAAAATTTAGCTGCATATATATAAAAACATAATAAAATTTTAAAAAATATAATATAGATTTAAAAAACATAATAAAAATTCAAAATTTAGCTAATCAAATTTCAGTATTTTGGCTCAAATTTGGCTACACTGTAAAATGATAAAAAAAGTATTAAATATATAAAAGGATTTTAGTAAAGGATTGGTTTTATATAAATTAAAAACATTTCTGTTACTATAAAACAACTAGCTAAAGAAGATAACTATAAAGGCAGGTTAGCTAATTTAGAATATTTAAAAGTATTAAATCAAAGCTCTGATTATATAGAGCATATCAAAACAAAATACAGCTTATGATTTTTTTTAAATTTTGAGAAAATTTCATTTAAAATTTTATGTAACAATAACAATGACAATTATACATGCCACCGAAATAGGTTTTCAAAAAACTCCTATTTCGTCTCTATTAGAGCAATTTGAAATTTTTATATGCAAGAGCAAATCTAATTTAGGTAGTTATGTTCCTTATAATTTTGTCTCTTCAAAAAAAGTATCAAAAAATTTTGTCTTTTAAGTAAAATAGGCCAAAAACAATTTCATCTTCAAATTTTAATTTCGTATCCCAAAACCTAAAATAATTTTGTCAGCATGTATAATGACAATTTATTATTAGTATAACCTGTTAGATTAACATCAATTAGTCAATTATACAGATGCATTTCAGGATCCCAGCTATATATAAATAGATCGCAATTTGGTTTTGTTTATTTTTAACTATTTTTTTATAAATCTTTTCTATATTTAGTAATATTAATGCTTATTTTTAACCTTTTTTTATAGATTTTTTCAGTTTTTAGTAATATATTAAGATTTTTTAAAAATTTTAGCTGTTTATAGATTGCTTGAGATCCTTGCATTTCTATAACTCTGCAGTAATGATCAACAATCAGATTTTTAAATTTTAATTTTAGATTACAACTAACTATATACAAGATTTAAAAAAAAAGATATCAACAAAAATTTTATTATATAAATTAATATTTTAAATAACAAATTACCTAAAAGAGTATCTACTTTATACAATCGTATAGTTAACTTATTTTTGCAAAAAATGCCATAAGCTGTGTTTTGGTTTGATATACTCTATATTTATATAAAAGTTTATAATAAAAAATCAGAATATATCAATAATAATATAATACAAACCAATATATAAGAGTTTAAATTAGAAATTAAGATAAACTAAATATCTTATACTTTAGTAATATAATGTAAAACCTATAGTTAGAAGTAGAAATACTTGTCATTTAAATAATTTTATAATATTAAGCTAGTCTTTAATAAGATAGATTATTAAAGCAAGATTATAGTATATAGTTCTAATAATATATTATATAAGACAATATTTATATAGATCGGACAAACTCTTTTTGCTGATTCTTAATTCCAAAAATCAAAAAAAACAAATATTTAAGTTTTACTCAAAAAACTATCTAATCAACAACCTTTAGAAGACTAAGAAAAAAGTTCAGCAAGTTTAAAAGCTATAACTTACTTAGAACAACAGTTGACAAAGCACCAAACTAATACTAAAGAAAAAATTTTTGCGAAAATTTTCTAAAATTTTTTAAAAAATTGGGCAATTGCTCTTATTTCTAAAAATTCAAACAAGAGTCATACGTGATTAAAATCCTTGTCAACAAAACAAACAAACAAACAAATATGTACTTTTTAGAAATATGTAGCAATGCAACAAAATAGACAAAGTAAACAAAAGAAAAACTTCACATGTATAAAATAAACAAAATATATACAAATATACAAAAAGTTCTAAAAACTGATGAAATCTAACAGAAGATTATCAGAAGTAAATAATCTTCTTGAACTTGTGTATTGGCATTTGAAAAGATACTTAGATATTTAAATAGTAGTGATTTAGTAAAAATTCTTTGTATATCTCTCTATACAAACCAAACGAAATAGATGCTTTTGCTAAGGATCTTATAGTATAAGATCTAAGCAGAGTTACAGCATATAAAATGATTTTATATAGCCAAATTCGAGATGCACTTAGGAAAGCAAAGAATTATTTACAAGAAGATACAATTTAGCAATAGGCAGTTGGAGCTAGAATAGCAAAAATGAACCTATTATCAATAAAATACATTACAGGTATGAATAAAAAAGAAATTAAAAAAGAAATAAGTAAAATGGTGAGAATAGAGAAGGATGGTATGATAGGGAAACCACAGTTATTAAAACTGAAAAAAGAAGCT